AATAAAAAGAAAAAAAAAAAAAACAAACTTCATCTTAAAGATACAGAGTAACTCTGATATGAAAAAAAAAGAATGTTTTAGAGACAGCACATAATTGTCAATTGTATGCTTCATATTTTTCTTCTCGGTTGAATCTGATAAATAAATTTTCTAATACCATAAAAGAAAACTAAATTGTACGTTATGGCAAAAAAGTATAATAATAATGAAATATACATGTATAAGTTAAAAATCTAAGTAAATAAATGTTTAATGCATATATATACAAAGAATAACTTCAAAAAGTATTTATCATTTCACAATTATTGCGGGTGGTAATTGACGATCTGGTAAAACTTGTTGATGAAGATATTCATATTGACGACGTGTTTCAGAAATCTTAATAAAACAAAATTTTTTGTTAAAAATCTCAAAAAAACGAAAATTTGAATTTACTTGTTGTAAAATTGCTTTTTTTCTTTCTTCTAATTCATGTTTAACACGTTTAAGTTCGTCAACTTCTTCATATAAGGATTCAACACCAATTGCTTTTCGTTTTCGACAATTTTGTGCTGCAATCTTTTTTTTTTATACAAATTTTATTTTAATAATAAAGAAATTCAAAAACAAAAAAACTTCGACATACTTTATTTTTTCCACGACGACGAATATCTTTTATAATATGTATTTGTTCAGGTGTTAAATAACTTAAACGTGATAAATGACGATTATATTCTTCTGTACTTGATTGAGTTATATCATTTAAAGTTAATGGAATATTATTTTGATGTAAAGCATCTTCATCTTGTTGTCCTTGATAATATGAACGTGTACTTGAACGTCTTAACATAATATGTGATAATGAATCTCCATCGGATTCAATCTAAATAATAAATTTTTTAAATAATAATATTTTATTTTCATTAAATTCTAATATATATATATATACTTTTTCTGATTTTGTATCATCAAATGTTGTTTCACTATAATTCTATAATAAAAATACAAAATAATAATTAAAATTTTTTTTTTTTTTCTTAAAATTTTATTTCAAATACTTCTGATTAAAAAAAATATAATCAATGATAATTCATTATTGTTGCTACTATTACTACTTACTGAATATTCATCATCGACTAAAACACTTAAAGGATTAATTAATGTTGATTCATTAGTAGTAGTAGTAGTAGTAATATTTTCATTAGATAATGATGATGTTGGTGTTATTTCATTTGATGTATTTTCGTTACTATCAATAAATTGATTTGGATTAGTAAACATGATACTATCACTACTTTTGTCAAGATTTAATAAAGTTGAAAACCAATCTGAATCAGTTTGATCGTCAATATTGTCAAATAATGGAATAGGAATACTATCAAAAATTAATTCACTATTATCTGCTGTTGTGATTGGTAAAATTTGATTAGATGATGCCTCAATATTAGATAAATATTCTTCGATCCATTTCTATAATGAAAAAACAAAAAAACCGAAAATTGCACAATCATTCTTTTTGTAGTAAAAGGTTATTTGTTAAATAAATAAAAACAAAAACAATAACAACCGAGATAACGTACATCATTTGGTGTAGGAGAAGAAGAAGTGTTTGATATCAAAGTCGATTCACGAAAGATTTTCTCACCTGAAAACATAAAATGAGAAAGAACAGGTTATATCAATATTTAACTTCATAGATGATGATAACATTCGTTTGATATTTTATGAAAAAAAAAAAATAAATATTCGTTTTAAAATCATCTCAAATTGTTCCCTAATACATAAATTTAATTCAAAAGTAAGTCATTAACTATTTCAAATATATTAACATAATCAAATAGAATTGAACAAAACTATTTTTCTTTAAGTCTTATAAACATACCGGTTTCAGGATCTATATCATAATCATAACAACCATCATCATCTGACATTGATGCATCATCTTCATTAGTTGTTAATTTTTTTCCATTATTTGTAAATTGTATTTCAGCTGAATAAACTGTAAAATCAAATGTTTTGTCTTTTAGATTAAAATCATTTATTGAATCATCAATATCAATCCAATTCGGTGGACGTACACCTAATTCATCTATATCAATAGCTAATAATCCATCTTGTTCATACATCAAATCCATTTTTATTATAATTACTAGATCAAAAACCAAAAAGTAAATAAATATTTTTATATAGTGACACTGACAACAGTGTCGTTTTGTGTCTAAGAAGAAGAAAAAAAACAGACACAAAAATACTAGTTAGACGAGAAAGCATAAAAGAAAAATAAGAAACAGAACGTAAAAAGTGGTATTGCGTTTTTGTTCTACTGCAACGAACGAGTAAAAATAAGAAAGAAAAGAAAAAGACGTAGTTTATGTTCGTCATCGTACTTCTCGTAACTCTCGTACGGTCATGTTTTGCATATTTTTTTTTGCTTTTTCTTTTTATAATCTTAAAAATAGAATAGTAATAATCATATTGTTGATTAATATAAAAGAACAAATAAAAAAAAACATGTTTTCCAAAGAAAATTTTTCCATCCCCCCCAAGGCAATTATGTAAATCTTCGTATTTTTTTTGTTTTGTTTTGTCTATATTTCAGTTAAAATAAACTAGATCTATAACTTATATTAAATGAAATATTTTTGCTTAATTAAATATGATTTTTGTTTTTTCTATCTAGAATACTTTCAAATTCATCAGGATTATTATTTTCACATTAAAAAAGACTTGAATATTTGTTCTTAATATGAAAAGAAACCATAAAATATATCATGAAAATAAAATCAATGTTGAAAGACCTTGCTAACAACTTGTTTGAACTTTTTTAATCATATATATATATATATTCCTTTTGAGGGAACAAGTATATGTTTAAATGGTATCAAAATAACAGTTGCAAAAGAAGATATTATTTTAATATGAAAGTTTTTCGAGATATGACTTGTATAATTTCATTACAATATCAATATTTCAAAACCTATAGATTATTAGTATATAATAAGAATAATTACAAACATGAAAAAAAGTAATCATCTATCTGAATAATGACAAGAGTTGTATCTTTAAATTTTTCTAATTTTGTCTCAAAACAATATCAGAATATTTTCTACACAGAGTTACACGAAGAGAATCATTACGAATTGTTTTCTGTACAGATTATATTTTAATATCATTAAAATAGATACTTGATTCTAAAGAAGTTTGTTTTTCTTTTTCTATTTTAACTATAATCTAGTCTTTGTAAATGAAAAGTAAAAGGACATTTATTTTAGAAATTTTGCAATACCAATTATGCTCATGAAAAGTGTAATGTCTAGCTCATCAGACAATCATTACAGATGTCAAATAATTTTTTTGATCGGAACGATATTGATTTTATGAGTATCATTGAATAATAGAAAAATCAAGAATGATTTGTTTTACGAAGTCTTCGTTCTCAAGATATCGAAATTTTACTAAATTTTCAATAAAAAGCTACGGTTTCCGTCAGATCAAATGAAAAATTGAGTTTCGATTTCAAACTATGTACGAACAAAATCTTCAATGAGATTTCTTGTATCTTGAGATATTCGAAATTTTCTTATATATCAAAGCAAATTTTGTTCATATATTTATATCTTCACAAACGAAATATTAATTGTATAATCAAATGATCTCATTAAAAACTTATTTAACCTATTATAAGAACGAAGATGCAGAGAATTAAATCATAGTAAAATTTTATATTACTTTATCAAATGAACATTGACTCAGTTGAAAAACACGATTTAATATTTTTAATTAAATTTAATTCGTATAGTTAGATAAATTTTTCTAAGAACATATGATAAGTACTTCCTGATTATAAGATATATATCAATTAATGTTATAGAAATAAAACAAAATCATTATTCTTATGTTTTGAATTTTACACATTATTATATTTCTATAATCTTTCAATAGAAAATAATTCTTTTTAAAACTTTTTGTATTATAAGAGAAAACTTTTACAATACTAAGAAAACAAAATGTAAGAAACTATTCATTAATAAAATAATTGTTCATAAAAAGTAATCTCATATGATATATTCACGTTTTAATAGAAAAAATTAATCAATATAGCTTTTCAATTTTTATTTATTTTAAATCAAAATCTTCTACGGTTAATACACTACTTTGTTTAACATTTAGTCACAAGGTACTGTATTCAAATCACACTACTACTACCAACTATGAAATGACTCATAACAAGTCACTAACGAACATTAGTATGCCGATCACATTATGGTATACATCCACTCTTATGGCTAGTATTTAGTTAGTGTATATGATGAACTCAAGTAATTGAGTACTTATATAACCGAATGGCAAGATCGATCTTTCTATCATTTAAAATAAGGAAAATTCTCTTATAGATCATACAAATTTGTTTTGTATATCATCTTTCAATCTTTAATTATTTACAAATATTTTATATTATATAAAATTATTAATATCAATATAAACAAATAAAATGACTCATACATATTTATAGTATATACACTTAAGGACATCGATTACTACAGTGACATGTAAATTATTTGTCAATCTTATTTTGACCTACTCAAAACGAAATATTCTCTGAACTGAATTTTACGTATTAATAGTACGATTATTATTCTTTTCCCCTTCTCATTTTATGTAATACATAGAATGCATGCGTTCGACGACCACGTCAATATATATATATATACATATTACGCACGACAGTACATACACTTTTATTAATCAACTTCTTATGTATGTACAATTTAATGTAGGTGTAAAACCATGGTAAATGACTCACTGTTTTTTTTTTGTTTTCTATTTTCAATTGTTTGATTTTTACAGATATAAAGATATTATTAATTTATCTAATATTGATTGATTAATGACTTTATTGTAAATTTTTATCTAAAAACAAAAAAAAAAGGAATCATTATCATATAAAAAAATCAGTTTCAATTAAAAAAAAAGAAAAGAAAAAATGTAAATCATGAAAAAAATAATAAATGTCTAATAAATCATGTCATCAATGCATCTAATTGACTTTGAATTGATTCAAGCTAGAAAGATTAACAAAAAAAAAAAAGAGAAAAAATTAATTTAATAATTACAAATTTTTTCTTTTTTTTTAGTTATTTTACCTTTTCGAAAAATGTATAAAGTTCATCTTTATTAAATTCAGTTTGTATATTTTCAATTTGCTAAATATATATATATATATTTCAAATATTCTCATAGTTATATATATATATTAATTCTTACTTTTGTTTGTTCATTTTTAAGTTGAAATTCATATATAGCTATTGGTCGTTTAACTTTACTTTTACTTGATTGTGTTATACCAACATCTAATGTCCAATGTATATCAGATAACTATCAAAGAAAATATTTTTTGATTTATTAAAAATAAATAATAATCAATCTTACTGAATATGAAGCAATATGAGAAGTTTTTAAACGTTCAACAATTTCTTTTGCATTTATTGACCATTGTTCAACAAATATTTTTGCCTTTTAAAATAAAATATGATTGATAAAAGTTTTCTTATTGAGCTTTTTTTTGTTTTTTTACTTTATTTTCATCAAAATTTTGTTCATTAATTAAATCATTTTCAAGTATTTGTGGTTTTATTAAATGATATGCTGATTGTAGAAACATATATTCAATTGTTTCAATCATTTGTTTAATATTATCTATTGATAAATTAAAAGCATTTTCTAATTTATTTAATTCATCTATTGTAAATATTGTTTCATTCTTAATTATTTAGATAAAAAAAAAATAAAAAATAAAGGTCAATAAAATAATTTAATAAAAATAAAAAAGATAGATTTTTACTTGTTGTCCTGTTTTTTCAGCAATACGTTGAATAAGTTTTTTAAATTTTGCTTCATCTAATGAATTTATATGTTGAATTGAAGTTTGTATTCTAATATATAGGATAAAAATAATTTAAATTTAATTTAATAAATATAATTACTTTGAAGAACCATCTGCAAATATTGAATTAGACATTTTTTGTTTAAGTAAAAAAAGATGATATAACCAAAAAACGATGTATGCATCACATATAGTTTTATTATGAGTCATAATTAACCAATCCAAATAAAGTTTTTCGAAAGAACATTCGGAATGAAAGGATATCTATCGGCATGAAATGAATACGCAATGCAATACTTCTTATCGATTTAATACGTCAGATCGAAATAACGGATTTCATATTAAAAAGTAATTAGAGTAGAATGACGTTGTCAGAATGGAAATCTAATAGTCAGTAAACTAATCCTTATTAATATTAGATACAAAAATAGTTCCGACATTTGTTACGATAATGATGAATGAAAAGTAATTTCTATAGATTATTTTTGCAAGTTCGGATAGTATTAGATCATTTGTAAATTGATTGAAATTGTAAATCGAATTGATAATCTATTTGAATGACTCGAGTGATTTGACAATGAGAACTATAATCAGACGGTAAGGTCTGACACAAATTCTAACATGTTCATGGAAAAATTGTAACATATATGACGAACTTACATCAAGGAGTGACATATGCTTTTACAATATCTGATCTATATATAACATTAGAATGTTGAATAGTTTGGTTGATGGTCATATTCGACTTGAATTTTGTTCAATTTTAAATATTTTTATTCATTTTTTATTTTCATTTACTCAATTAGTTATTGTACTTGCTATATTAGGTTTACTAATAGCATTAATAGTGATATTTATGTATGACGTTCACGATCAACAGTTACTGGTGAAACTCAAAGTAATTCAGATATCGTTTTTGCTTGATATAAAAAATTTTATTACAATAAAAGAAAATAATGATAGGCATTTTCTGGAAATAGAATTGATTTGTTAATGTAATGTTGTTTTACTTTCGAATAATTGACTCGTGTAAATTGATTTGTGAAAGTATTTGTCACATTTAGTAAATCTTCATACTTTGTATCTAATACAAAAGATTGAGAAAAACATTTATTTTCATTAGATAAAAATTGATTAATATAATTTATATGTGTGCAGAATAACATAATCTTTTATATTGTATATAGTCGGAAAAACTTTTAGAAGCTGGCAGATTTTCCATCTAATCATGTGGAGCCTTTCAGATCATTCTCTTATTCAATATTTCTAATCAATCGAACTTTCTTATCTATATTGCATAGAATAAAACTTGTTTAAATCGAACATTTCTGTTATTATATTATCGATATATGATTAAAACTTCGAACCTATCGTGTTAAGGAGTAGAGAACACATAAAACTAATTGAAATTATTACTAATGTTTTAATTATGATTGAACGGAGAAAAAAAAAATTATTAATCACAGCTTAAGAAATTCTTTTTTATTTTATTATCAAGAAAATACAACGAATGTTTGTGTTAATATGAACAATAGAGAACTAAACTGAAGAAAAAGACAAATAAATCAACGATGATTAAAACCTGATCATTAATTCATCATCAAATTATGTTCTCGATCACAGAGATGTCCATCACGGTTGAAAACTGACCGCTACCGTGCCGCGACGATAAAATAAAAAAGCTAACGCGCCGCTACCGCACCGCGGTGATAAAAACAGAAAACCTACCGCGACGCCACCAAAAATAACCATGCCGCGACCGCGCTGCTACCGCGATGATTGTTAGAATAATGTTGTGAATTTTACGATCTGTGACTGTTCAGAACTAGAGCTGTTGTTACCAATCGATAAGATTCGTTGAATCTCATAGTTTTGCACTTGCAAGCATTGAAATTCTGTTCGAATTCATGCATTTTTGCATTGTTCCCCAAAAAAACCTACCGTTACCGCGCCGCCACCGCCACAGCGGCAGCGGCCGCACCGCGATGGACATCTCTGCTCGATCAATTAAAATTCTTGATGTTGAGCTGTTAGAAATACACATTATATCAATGCCAAGAAGATTAATAAATAAATTAATGATCTATTATTTCAAAATACAGAAAATATATCTTTTTAATATAAAAATAAAGCAAAATCTTACCATGAATTTTTCATTTAATTCATAACAAAACATTTTTCATGTTGCAGGAGTGGTAGTTGAGTCAAATAATAATGGATCAGATAATCGTTGAGTAACATTTTCCTTAATGTTAATAAAATAAAAATATATTCAATATATTTGTATTTTATTTACGGTTGATGACTCACGTTCTTTTCTTCAAGATCAGCATAATAACAGGAGAATTTCGAATAACATGGAATATTGCGATAAAAAAAAAAGATTTACTTTATGATTATAGATAATTTAAATACATACGTTGATAATATATTACAGAGCGCATTTGTGTTTTTTTTATTGGAATATAAAAGTTTTAATATTATTTCTTTTAATTTCTGATGAAATTCCCAATATATATTTTTGTTTTTAATTGTTTTTGTTAGCATAAAGATAATTATATTTAAATCTGTTGTTGTTTCAAGTTCTTCATTACGAATATCATTTATGAAATAATTCATTATTTCCTTTAGAATATGAGCTTTATTGTCCAAACCATTACCATTTATTATTAATGATTCCATGACAGCTTTTAAACCAAGATTTGAAATGTAACGTAATTGTTTAGTAATTGTAGATACATTTGTACAATTTGAACATAATGTTTGACATATTATTCGAATTTGATCTTCTTTTATTTTATATACTAATAAACTAAGACATTTAACAGCTTGATTTTGTACTTCCTCATTTGTATTATTTAACAATTTCAAAACAATTTGAACAATTTGACGTTGAGCATCATTATCTAATATAAATGATTGCCTTTGTAAATCACTCATTAAGTCTGATGTTGTTATAAGACGAAAATCTTCATCGATTGACGACATTTTATCTAATATAAAAATTGAAAATAACAAAAAAAAAAAAAGATTCATATTTTATTATTTACCAATTCGATAAAAAGCAGATCCAAATACAAAAATTGGTGTTGCTTCAATTGTAATCGATTGTACATCATTATTATCAACATGGTAAGGTAAATAAAGATAATTTATTTGTACGGGCCATTCAGCAGGTGCAGCATCGATTTGTTTAACGAATGGTCGTATATCAAATCCTTCACGTGATGCACGAACTTCAGGTTCACTACTACTAAAATACATTGCAATTTGTTTATCAGAAAAACCAAGACGTTTGGCTTCGAGTAGAAGTGATCGATCTTGAATTGTTGATACATCCGAATAATTAATAATAAATTGAATAATCGAGGAAAATTTGTCGAGAAACCATCGATTAATTTTTGTTAATCCGAATAAACGTTCGATAGTGTATTCTTAACGAATAGCTGTTGCTAATGCGAAAACACGTTTATCTGTAGGAGTAATTAATTCCTAGAATAAAAACAAATAAAATCAAATATAAAATAAGCTTTTATTGATATTACATCATCAATAACCGTTCTTGGAAATGGATCAAAACCAGTTACATTTTCATGAATCATTCTTAATGCTTGTTAAAAAGCTTCTTCGAATGATTTGCCAATCGATATAACTTCACTAGTAGTTTTTACTAATTAAAACAAAATGATTATCTTTAATAATTAAAATCTTTATCACTTACTAGAAATTTCACTTCCATCTGAACGTCGAATAAAATTTTTTATTTCCAATTTCGGAACTCTAATTGTCACATAGTCAAGACTTGGTTCTAACCAAGCACATGTTTGATTTGTAATACTATTTTTTAATGTAACTAAACTCATTCCAAGTGCAAGTTTAGCTGTTATATATCCTAATGGATAACCAGTTGCTTTTGATACAAATGTAGATGAACAAGATAATCCTGAAGTTACTTTAATTATATAATATTCAATACATAATGGATTTAATGCAAATTGTACATTACATGTACCAACAATACACAAATAACGAACAATTTTAATTGATACACTTCGTAATAAATTATATTCATCACTTGATAATGTTTGACTTGGTGCAACAACAATTGATTCACCAGTACGAAGTGATAATGGATCAATATTTTCCATATTACATACGACAATACAATTATCATATAGATCTCGAACAACTTCATATGCAATCTTTTTCCAACCATTAAGTGATTTATCAATTATTAATTCTAATTTTGATAAATGAGAGAAGACTGAAGTAACAAAATCAATTAATTTTTTACGATCATCGGCAAAACCTGATTTATGACCACCAAGTGGAAGAAGAGCACTAAAAAGAACAGCTATTCAAGAGAAGTATTCAGAATATCTACATACCGAACGTTAACTGGGTAACCAAGCCGTTCAGCTGATTCCAATGCCTCAAATAGATCATTAGAGATTATATTTCAAATCTTTTTCATCAAATCTC